CCTCAGCCACCCGGGTGGCTGAGGGGTGGCTGCTCCTCGCCAGCTACTGTTTTGTTAGGATATGAATGACCTCCTTCATAATGCCCTGAACGCCATACCGGCGTTTTCAGGAGGATGACAAACTTCTCAGGGGCGTCCCTGAGAAGTACCTGCCTTGGGAGACCATCACCTTGGTCTCCAATGTCAAGAAGGCATTCAAGAAGTTCAAGGAGGGCGCTCTCAAGTCCGCCTAGAACTTTCTTCACTCGGTGCGCCTCTGGCGCTTAATGTAAATACTTTGTTTTCGCATGTGTGTTGGTGTGTGTGAGTGCTCGATGCGGGGGACGTTCCTCTTCACCTTGAAAGCTGCTTGTCCTCTCTGTCGTCCCAGCCAGCCCCATGTTGACCCTCTGTACTTTCCCCCTGCAACATTTCTACCCTTGAATTGTGATTTATGAATTATCTTATATGGCACTGACAATTTCTGATTACTGATTTGACAGTACTTTTGCTTAATTCAAATAAGCGAGCGTGAGTCTTCTCGATTTTTTTCGACCATGGATAATGACCGTCTTTAAGCTGCACGCTTAATGCTTCTAGGACGAGCGTTGCACGCATCGCGGTGCATCCATGACACAGTTAGCCGTGCCTGTCGTCTGCAATTGCCGGCAAGAGAGCCATTTTGATTTTAGATGCAGTATTCGTGATCTCGTCAGAACGCAGATCATTCTGCCTCGCCAAGTCCTGCTTATCGCGCTAGATTTTTTATGATTTGACTTAGTTACGTCGATCAATCCACGCTCTCGCTCAACGAATCGGAGTGCTTTAGTGCAAAGCGAACGGTGCATAATTTTAGTTCGTGATTTATCTCGAATTATTGTTTTGTCGCAAAAGGATTTGGCTCCCTCCGACTGCGCACATTTGACCGGGCGTTGTTGCCTTGGCGATACCTCACGGTCTTTTCACGCTTGTCAAGGTGCCAACTGAGAGCACGAGACCAGTCAGGAGTAACAGAACAGTCATTAGCAATCCTGTGAATTACTCGACTGACGGAAAATCGAAGTGACGGAAAAGCATGGGGACACCTGACAGGGAAGTGGGATCATGAACTCGCCGGGCGTCAGGCGGTAGCTGTGGCATGGACGGGAGTCATCATGGTCTGTGGCACGCCCGTCGGCTCAGGTCGGGTCGAGGTGTGCGAGAGTGGACGATGTTGCGACGCTGAATACTGATTGTCAGCTGGTGCAAGGCCGCTTTCGGCGCCAGGCTGTGTGGGTCCTTCGAGAGCCTTTGCTTGCTCGGACTGGCCCGACTCGTGTGCGTTGTCGCGGTCACGCTCGCTTGCTTCGATCCTCGACTCGGTGATCTTGCCCGAACGAAGTCGCAGTGCACCATAGTCGCAGTCACGCAACATGGCGAGCAGGAGGAACGCAAATAGAGGCTTCGAAACAATGTCCAGGAGGCCGTAGAAGATGAACTGTGCGCCAGAAAGGGTGGGAAACAAGATCCTTGTCAGATGACGACGACATCGACGATCCAAAAGGTGCCACTTGGTGTTGCTTTGAAGCTCGTCTTACCTCTTCGCTGACGCCGATGACGTTTCCGCCTTCGCTGAGACCCCAGCAAATCGCATACATCGGCCATATCACCGCAAGCAGCGATGCGCACGTCAAGTACGCCCTTCCAAAGCCGCCTCCGAGCCGTCTAGCCGAACGCAAACCCGATGCAAAGACGTGGTACAGGACGTAGCCGAGTGCAGCGCATGCAAACACCTAGCAGACGTTGCAGACGAGACTAGAGTCAGAACGACGATCTTGGGCACCGCTGACATGTTGGGCTCGGCACTTACAAAGTATGCCCACTTGTATCGTGTTGGTGTCAGCGCGCCTAGAAGGCCGCACACGATCATCAAGATGTTGAAGAAGAGCGTGATGAAGATGACCGAAAGCGGAAGTCCGGTGATGAGCAGCAGGCTGAGCAGTAGGAGCGACGTGGTGAGTGTCCAGTCGATGTAGCGTGCGAACCAGATCTGGCGTGTCGGATAGCGCGAGCCGGGACCAAGCGGGCTGTTGTGGCGGAACTGAACTGGGACGGGAGTTGCACCGAGGTCGCTGGCCATTGAGTACCACGCGACAGACGAGATGGCAAGCACGGGGATGAACAGGTAGTGAAACGTTCGGCGGTTTCGAGCGAGTTTGGTGGACCAGATGAGAAGACCGATGAGCGACGCCGCCATGACGCAGAACATCACGTAGCCCCAGTCACTACCCCACCGGCCAAGATGGATATCGGCGTTGGGTGGGTTCGTCCTGAGCGCGCGGTTGCCCGCACGCTTTTGAAGAGAATTCCACATGGTGTGGCAGGTTTTCAGAGACCGAGACGCAAGACGACGAGGTGATTCCGACGACGGCGAGCGGCGTGAACGAATACGTCTCCGATACGATCTGGGTGAGCTGAAGTCGAAGAAAAGGGGCTACCTTGTGGACTAAAGCGACAGGGGGTGAGCGAGGCCTTCCAAGGACCGCTGAGCTTATATACAGCGGCGGTCGTCAAGAGAAAGCTGCTTTCAGCGGTGCCTGGAGGGCCATCAGTGGAGGCAGAAAGGCTGAAACGACAGTCAAACTGCACATGCAGCGTGCGAAAGCAACATATCTGCTGTCCCGGAGCATTTGTACCATGAATCAGCGCCGCACGATAAGGCTGCGCAATTCGACCGGGCCGGTCGCGAGCATGGCACGACGCCGGAGCCGGCCACAAGATGTGTGAGCGTATGCGCCACCAAGGATTGGCTAAATCGCCTCGAGCCTGCCCAGCCGCGACGATGGCGAGGCTGCCAACCGCTCCACAAGTACAGCGCGGCTGCTGAGTGATGCTTGTTCATACATGCCTGCATCGCGATGAATGGCCTCAAATCTGTTCGGGTTTCAACCACAGTGCTGACAAGGAGAGGACAATGACGGTGCTTGCGATGCAGAGGTGACAGCGACTGTGGGACTACATGATGCAAAGACAGGACAGGGAAAGCGCGGGTGAGAGTTGCATACGGAGAGAGGGCGAGGCGAGTCAGCGGCCAGAGACATTCAATTCGCTGCTCGGACGGCTGGGACGACGCCACAGAGCCTGTGCAGAGGATGTGGCCAAGTGTGCCGCATTGATACGACGCGCCGAGTAGGACTCTAGGCTCGCGATCGGAGACGCAGCTCGACCGCTTCGATGGCGTCCTTGAGCTCTTTGGGGCCGGGTTTGGTGGCGACGGCGTCGGGCTCGATTGCGAGGTTGTCGACCATCCATGCGCGTGTGGTGCTTCCAAGGACGGCGATGCGCGGATACTTGCGAGAGGCCGAATGAGAGGTGACGGTGGTCTTGGCGGCGATGGACGATGTGGCAGTAGCCGACGCGTCGGCAGAGGATGCGGTCGAGGCTCGCTCTGGCGGCATCCATTTTCGGCGACGAAACTCTTCGAGGGCGTAGTTGACTCCGCTGGGCGAGAAGAAGACGATCCAGTCTGGTCTGGCGATGGTCTGTCGACTGTGCGTGGTGCTGCTGTCGGTGCCGCTTGAGCTGTCGTGGCCGGCTGCCTTGGCCTTGGCTCTGAGCGTTTTGAGCACGGATTCTTCCTCGATGGGGTTGATGGCTTCGGGCTCGATTGTGGCGGGGGAAGCCATGAGCTGTGGCGAGCCTCCGACGGCGGCGGTGATGCTCTTTGTGTCGATGCGAGGATGGACGGCCTCGGTGGAGGTCATGGTGCTGACGCCTAGAGGCGTGCCGACCGAGGGTACGTGGCTGAGACTGTGTTGCGAGGCGGTGCGACTGGATTCGCGCAGATCGTCGGAGCTGGATTTGCGGCTTGCGTTGGCGCTCTTGAGTGCAACGGAGGGGTGACGATCGACCGAGGTGGTGCTTCCGCCGCTGGGACGTCTGCTACCGGGGCGCGAGTGCATGCTGCCGTTGCTTGGGCGCCGGCTTGGTGGACGCGATACGACCGAGGGGAGCGTATTTGCGAGGACCTCGCAGCCTTCAGCAAAGTGAGGATCGGGCGAAGTCTCGTAGACTTGTAGCTCTTCGTGAGGGATGGGGCCGTGTGGGGGAGATGCCTGCGAGAGCAGGTCCGGGATGGTGGATGCGTTCTTGTCTCCGACCAGATAAAGCAGAGGAAGCGGTTGGGATGATGGCGGCGTGTCGGACTTTTCGTCGAGGATGGCGGGGGTGGAGAAGTGACGGACGACGTAGCGGGCGAGTGCGTCTCCGGTGCCGGTGGCCTCACCGCCCATGACGAGACGAGGACGGAGCCAAGGAGCGAGAGGCACGGAGCGGAGGGCGGAAGCGGTGGCGGGGCCGACGGCAAAGAAGGGGACGCGATTCCACTGGGTGGGCGAGCTGGAGGAGGTCTTGTTGTTGGAGCGGAGCATGTCCTGCGCCTTGACTCCTGCCGAGATGTAGGCTTCGACGGCACGCTGGCTGGTGACGATCATGCCGCGATACGGCGCGGCTGGTTTGGAGTCGTCGGAGCGAGAGCCGTGCAAGAGACGATCGACGAATTCTTGCTGGTGTACGAATCGATGGGAGAGGATGGGGAAGGAAGTGACGCAGTACTCGATCTCGACCTCATCGCCGTTCGCATCGGAAGGGTAGGAGAGATGATGGGTCATGAGGCGGGGCTGGTCGTGGATGAACTTGCCCTTGCGTCTGCCCGTCGCCGACAGCGGCAGTGGTGCGGCCGAGGATGCATGCTTGGCCGAGGTGGTGATGTTGTTGGCGATGGCTGCCTGCTGGCTGAGTGCGGTCTTGATGAGATCGAGCGCGCCGCTCTCTGCGGTGGATGCGAGCGAGGATCTGCCGCTGGCGGATAGGCTGGGGAGTGGCGTGGAAGTGCCAGACTCGAGCGCCGACGAGGCAAACGAGGGGAGGCAGAAGGAGCCGAAAGCGTCGTGGTAGGGGTCGGTGCCCTTGGACATCGATACGGGCGAGCGCAGCAGCAGCACCGTCACCGGAGGCGGCGCCTCCTCGAAATCTTCGGCGGCGGACATGGTGTCGTCGGACGCGCCCCGAGGCTTCGAGACGAGGTTCAGCAGAAAAGAAGCGTCGGCGAGGCCGAGATGATGACTGTGTGCTGAATCCACCGTGGTAAGCTCTGCCCGCGTGGGCCTGGTCTTGGCACAGGCAATGGCAAGGTCGGTGTATCCGACGAGCCAAGGTGAGCAGGGGGCGGTGCCCTTGGACATCGATACGGGCGAGCGCAGCAGCAGCACCGTCACCGGAGGCGGCGCCTCCTCGAAATCTTCGGCGGCGGACATGGTGTCGTCGGACGCGCCCCGAGGCTTCGAGACGAGGTTCAGCAGAAAAGAAGCGTCGGCGAGGCCGAGATGATGACTGTGTGCTGAATCCACCGTGGTAAGCTCTGCCCGCGTGGGCCTGGTCTTGGCACAGGCAATGGCAAGGTCGGTGTATCCGACGAGCCAAGGTGAGCAGGGGGCGATTGCGATCGTGATTGTGATTGTGATTGTGGTTGTGATTGTCTCGAGGAGAGGTGCCTCAAAGGTATTCGAGCGACATGGCCATGTGACTGCAGGGGTTGGCTCCACTCCACCTGTCGGTGCGCATCTGGCCGCAGTGTGCATTGTCGGCGAAACCATCACAGCCCACAGCGCGTCGGCGTCCCAGACTCGGATGCACAATTTCGTCGGGCGGTGGTGGTCCATGCAGCAACAGCAGCACCTCGGCTGCCACGTTTCTGCAGCTCCGTCTCGAGCGCAAAATTCAACAGTGTGGGAGGCTGAGATCTGACAATTTTCAATTTTCGCGTGTGCGAGCAACGATGGCCTGACTTTTCTTGGACTCTTCTTCTTCTCCGCAGACTTTCGCGCGGCGGTGTTGGTTGGGGCCAAAT